GAGCGGAACAGGAGGCGGAAGCGGCAGGGAGGAAAATCGGTGGGGTCCATTGAAATTCAAATTGTTCTTGGAGCCAAAAGGAGGGGAAGTGAGGGTAATTAAGTCCTTTTGTATCAATTTTGAATTGTATGCATTAAGTAGAGAGTAAAGGGGAGGATTAGGGTTAGGTGTTATTGTCTTGAAGTTTCTCTTGTTTTCTCTTGTTGATTTGGGCTCTAGACCGTATTCTAGAGATTGGGAGAGTGTGATCCTCCTCTCGAATAGAGGATCCTTGTATCTTTGCTATTTTCCTTGCAGCTATTAGTAAAATACAAGTCTTTTATCCGTGTTTCCTGCTGTTTTTCTTTGTTTTTCCTCAGTTTTGGGCTGTTTAACTGCTGTGGACAGCAGTTGTTCTTGAGATTTGTTGCCAAAGTGATTAGGAAATACTTGAAAACAAGTATTTCCTATCACATTAGTATCACGCCGCAACCTTTGCTCCATAACTCGCTCTCATAGTTTTAAAGTATGGCACATTAACTTAATTCCTCTATAATTCGCACTCTTGTGCATTATCTTTAGTCTTAAAAATAGGAATTAACACACTCAATTTCCACTGATCTAACATCTTTTTAGTCTTCAAAACAGTATTAAAAAGTTTAGTAAGGCAAGAAATTTCTTCATCTCCTAAGCATTTCCACATCTCTATTGGAATATCATCAGGTCCAACAACTTTTCCACACTTCATTTTCTTTAAAGTTTCTTTAACTTCGATTTTACTAATACGCCGATAAAAATAAAAATCTTTATTTTCATTTAAGGTGCTATAGTCTCTAAAGTCAATCATATTTTCACAATCTTTTTAGTCTTTAAATCCTGTTAAATCATGAGAAATTGTTTGGCAACATATTCCATGATTTAAAACAATTAGAGATTTAAATATGAAGTAATAATACTGAATTACATCAATACACTAGTTATAAATTTAAGATAATTCTATGACACATAATAAATCAAATATGACATCATACAACAGAAACTAGTAGAAGCATAAAGAGTACAGGTGGAGGAATATGCCGGCTGAGCAAGGATGCGAGGGCTAGGGCTGGGTTTGAGGGCGAAGCAACTGCGTCTTCCATCTACATAAAGACCTTGCGGGAACTTCGTGACACGAGCGCCGCAGGTGAGAACTCGCGCAACTGTAAATCCCGTTAAATCCGCCTAAGAATGGGATTCGGATTTTCCTGGATTTACATGGATTTATGTCGTAAATCTGTAAATCCGAGATTTAAGTCGTCGCTGGATTTACGGGCGCGCCGAAAACCGTTTGGCTGGATTTATGTTAAATTATGCTTAAATTTTATGCCAAATTCGATACCAAACAGCCTCTTAAGGTGTGCCAATACAGTCTTTAATTTAAGCTGCTTATTGTCTATCTTGTCAATGTTGTGTGGCAAGTTTCATGCGGTTTTGCATAAAAATACCAGGGAAGCTAGTTGGTGGATATAGGATGTAATTTTTAACTTCATATTTTCATGTATAGATTTTAAATTATAACATTGAAGCAACAAGTTTTTTATCGCTCTTATGTATTCTCAATGGACATTGATTTATGACATTTTATCTAACGGATATTATGAAGATGGAATGACGTGCATGACAAGGGATACTGCATGTAGTTAACATGCAAAGGAGATGAGTTGTTATGTATAAATTACTACTAAATGGATCAATACGTTAATTAATTATATTTATGTATGAGAGAATGATAGGGCATAACCATATAATCTATACCATCTTTAATTGCATTCAGTGGTAAATATAGTAGCATCTCTCATTCTCCATATCGATTTCTTTACTTTCTCTATTTGTTATCTTTCTTTTTAACACTCTTTTTTAATATTTACAATTTTTTTGCTCATAATCACGCTTAATATGTGAAAAGCAGTTGTATCTCACTATGTAATTCTAATCAGAGTCGAACAGGTGGATTGGTTATATGGAGATCAGGTAGTGTGATGATAGTTTATCAAGGGAGTAACTATAAACGACCTTCCAAGTTCCAAACTTCTGAAATTGAAGCCAACTCGAGTAAGATATTGGATGAAGGTAATAAATATTTTGTTCCAGATGTTTCAAGTGCTACTATGTCACCTGCTGAAGGAAAAGATCATGATTCTTCTTCAAATTCAAATCATATCGAATCATTTCAAATATTCAGAAAATCTGGTGAAAGCATGACTGAGGAAGAAGCAGAGTACAATCTCTTACTTGAGGAATTGGGTCCTCGATTTGTTGATTGGTGGGGAACTGGGATACTGCCTGTAGATGCTGATTTGTTGCCTCAAACTATTCCTGGATATAAACCTCCTTTTAGACTTCTTCCCGTGGGGATGCGTTCAAGGCTTACTAATTCAGAGATGACAGATTTGCGCAAGCTAGCAAAAGGACTTCCATGCCATTTTGCCTTAGGTATTATTCATTCCAAAGTTTAGAGGGTATGCTATGACTTTTACGATACTATTCATACAAACTTGTTGAATTCTTGAATTTATCTTGATGAAGGGAGAAATAGACATCATCAAGGCTTGGCGAATGCCATACTAAAGCTCTGGGAGAAGAGTTTGGTTGCCAAAATTGCCATCAAACAAGGAATTCAAAATACAAATAACAAATTGATGGCTGAGGAGCTGAAGGTAGATAATCTTTGAGATTCTCCCTTGTCCCAATTTATTTAATGTATTTTTTTTAGCTTACTTACATCTCATTCTATGATTTTTTCTTGCCAAACCTACTACATAATGCCTAAGCAACAAAAGATTGCTCTTGATTATTGTTAACTATTCATCTTTAGTCAGAACCGATATTGTTATTTTTTTAAATATGGATACTCATATGTTTTCATAAAATCTTGTTTTGATGCTGCACAATATTCACATACAAAATAGATAAGTCTTCTATAAGTATTATATGGATGTAGTGAGGCATATGAAATAAAACAGGCATACATTCACGTGCAAACCAACAAATCCATATCTAATTTGTGCCTATGCCTATGCACCCATGAATTTAAACTAGGCATTACCTTGTTCATGCAAATGCAAGTAAAAGAAGGAACAAACGGC